ACTAGTTCTTGGTAGAAAACTTTCATGAACTCCATAGTAGCTTTGTCGTCGATCGCCCACAGGGACACCAGAACAGCACGAGCACCAGCACCCAAAAAAGCCCGTGCGATGCCGACCACACCCTCAGATTTGACTTCTCCCCGAGCACTATGACAACAACTAAGAACAACAAGTCTTGCTCTAATCTGCGCATCTAAAACATCTTTCATAGTTAAGAGATAGTCCTCCCTAGCTGGATTTACGGATGAACGCGTTGTGTTAGGGGCCAAGGCAATTTCTCCTGTTTCCATTTTACCGTGAGCAGCAATGTGCACCAAAGCAACCGAGGAGATACGTCTTAAAACTTCATCTTTTGTTGCCTGCATTCCAACGAGAGGTACAGCTTGAAGTATTTCTCCAATCATCTGCACTTCCCTCTTTGCCCAAATTAACTGATCAAGCGGCTCTCCTTCATAAACCACCTCCTGTACCCACGGATCGCCGACAAGAAGAGCGCCAGTCTTGCTATGCAAATCTGCTGGACAATTTTGGATTAATCGCAGACTAGAAAGTGAGGGAAGCAGTCGAATTCTAAACGTTTCGCAGAGGTAGTTTGCTTTTGAGTCCATGAAAGCAGCATAAGGCGCCAAACATAGAGGTCCTTGTGGAACAATCACAACCTCATCGCCCTGGAGTAAGTCTCTTATAGGGTTTATGACAACGTTGTAAAATGTTTGCAATGACTTTTTCTTAAAATATGAAGGATGAGACTTTGGCTTACTTGATCTTTTTTCCGCTAACTTCTTATCGCTTGGGTTACTTAATGAGCGATCTTCACAATTAACGTCAGCTCTTACACCTATTTCTTTATGTGTAGCCTCCAATAGAGACTGAAAATACGTTGTGACGGACATATCAATCTCAGTTCTTCTAGTTTTGATTTCATTTCCTTTCTCGTTCACCCAGAGAACTATTCCTCCCTCGCTGATACCCATGAAAGCTGTATTTGGTGGTAAGTAACTGGCAAAGTCACTTGGTCTTGCAGAAAGTGTTCCTATTTCTGGGCGTAACCCTTTAAGGCCATAATTGAACTCCAGAAGATCATTTAAAGCTCGTGCTCGTCCTTGATCAGCAGTTAAAAGTGCCTCAATGACTTTACCTTCCTTAAACTGCAACTCCCACAGCCTCAAATTAATATAATCATACGTACTTTTAAGGGTAATCTTCCATTCGTCGTTAGATATGAGATTTCTCCTAATGTGGTCGAAGGCTATAACACTGTTCTTATAACACTGAACGGCTTTCTGGAAATCTCCAAGACTGTGATAGGTGTTGCCAAGATTACCGTACGCTTTTCCTTCTCCTGCCCCGTCTCCCACTTCTTTCGAAATTTTGAGGTGTCGTTGATGGTACTCGATGGCTTTCTGGAAATCTCCAAGACTGCGATAGGCATTGCCAAGACTACCGTACGCTCTTCCTTCTCCTGCCCTGTTTCCCACTTCTTTCGAAATTTTGAGGTCTCGTTCAAGGTACTTTATGGCTTTCTGGAAATCTCCAAGACTGTTATAGACATCGCCAAGATTACCGTACGCTTTTCCTTCTCCTGCCCTGTCTCCCACTTCTTTCGAAATTTTGAGGTGTCGTTCATGGTACTCTATGGCTTTCTGGAAATCTCCAAGACTGTGATAGGCATTGCCAAGACTACCGTACGCTATTCCTTCTCCTGCCCTGTCTTCCACTTCTTTCGAAATTTTGAGGTCTCGTTCAAGGTACTCTATGGCTTTCTGGAAATCTCCAAGACTGTCATAGGTGTTGCCAAGATTACAGTACGCTTTTCCTTCTCCTGCCCTGTCTCCCACTTCTTTCGAATTTTTGAGGTGTCGTTGATGGTACTCGATGGCTTTCTGGAAATCTCCAAGACTGTGATAGGCGTTGCCAAGATTACCGTACGCTTTTCCTTCTCCTGCCCTGTCTCCCACTTCTTTCGAAATTTTGAGGTCTCGTTCATGGTACTCTATGGCTTTCTGGAAATCTCCAAGACTGTGATAGGCGTTGCCAAGATTACCGTACGCTTTTCCTTCTCCTGCCCTGTCTCCCACTTCTTTCGAAATTTTGAGGTGTCGTTCATGGTACTCTATGGCTTTCTGGAAATCTCCAAGACTATGATAGGCGATGCCAAGATTACCGTACGCTTTTCCTTCTCCTGCCCTGTCTCCCACTTCTTTCGAAATTTTGAGGTGTCGTTGATGGTACTCTATGGCTTTCCGGAAATCTCCAAGATTGTGATAGGCGATACCTAGGGCGTGCTGGAAATCTTTAAAGTTGACAAAGGAGTCGCCAATATTACCATTAATAGCTGTGGTTGTCATATTTTGCTATTTCAGCTCTGCTGATACCATTTCTCTTTATGTACGATAACGAAGAGGGTCTGAAAAGCAAAATTAAAAGCTGGAGAAAAAGCTTATTTATTAGCTCCTTTACTATTCGTTTTTGTCTATCACAGTCGCATTTGATTTGCCTCAAAAATGGATCCTTCTACGTGTTTTTCATCGTTGTATAATATAACTTGATGGACTGGCGTCTTCTCTAAAAAAGGAATATATTAACATTCGTTTGGTGATAATCATCGAAATTAAAAAAAAAACAAAAAACAAAGAAACCTATTTACCATCGTTTTAACATGGTGTATATATAGAGGATATTATATGGCCGCGCGGAGATGGGAAAATTCTCTTCGAGTGTTGAAAAATATTTTTTTCAACACGAGAAGAGAAATTTCGTATCTCCAAGCAACCATGTAATGTTCTATTTATTATATAAACACCAATGAAATACTAACCATTTTACTTAAATAGTTTTTTGGTCAAAAGGTGCGGTTTATTATGAAGCTACAGCAACGATGAAATTTTCACATGTGAAGATAACATGTTATTTTCACATGTGAAGATATCAAGTTTTCGCGCGAAAGCTCACTTGGTATTTCATTCCATTTCTCATTTCATTACTCATTATACATTCATCTACCTTCCACTGAAAAAATAAATTTATTGTCAACAAACTACAAACCGGTCCAGCGGAAACATTTCAGAAAATTCAAATTTGGGAAAATGAACTTATTTCTAAGGGTTAACATCTCTGGGTAGCGGAATACAAGTGTTTAGCAATTGAAAAGAAAACCTATTTCCTTACCACCAAAACACTGAGAAAGTTACAGGTATTTTAAGCTTGTGGGTTTTCAAAAAACTGTAATAGTTCCACAGCTGGTTCCAGCTCAAGTCCAACTCGGTGTAAAAACCTGAGGAGTTTTCCTTTTTTTCCTCCTATTTTCTTAAGTAGATCTATAAGTAGGATGGGCATGATCGTCCGAGGGCTGACGTAGTACCAGAAACTTCATAAGGGGTTGAAACGTGTAACTCTCATATGTTTGCTTTTTCCGATGCTCGTGATTATTCATTTTCAAAAGTACCATATTTGGAACGAGAAGAGGAGATAACTGACCAATCAAACTTCGTAAACAACGTGACGCAATTTTACTTCACGTTCCCGCGCCCGCCTAAAAAAATGGCCTACAAACGGGGGAAAAACTCCCGAAAGCCGAGAAAGCTTTCAAATGTTGAGACCAGGATTGGGGAATCTTACCAAACTACTGAGCAGGATATTATTGCCTTACCACCTGGGCTAAACGTAACATGAAATCCATTGACGTCCTCGCAACTTCTTGAAGTTGTCGCTTCAAAAAACGATGCCTCGTTGACCCTCTGCACAGTAAACTTATACTGCACATAGGCTTTTAAAATTCTTATTACTAGTCTACAATAAACAGTAACAAATATTTTCGAATAAAATTCATTAGCTGCTTATCGAAAAGTGTCCAAAACCTGAACCTGACATCTTCGCAAAAAGTGATGCGTGTAAGAAATGTGAGAGGCATTTAAGCTTAAATTCAGTTTGGATTTGGTCACGATCGTGTTTTGAGCTAATTTTTATGAATGAACAAAGTCAAAACAATAGGCAGCGATGCCGTTTCTCGAAAATTTTTATTCAAAATCCTAAAAGTTAGTCCTTTAAAGCAATTCGGGAAATACTATCTGGATCGTGGATCCATTAACGGAAGTGAAATCGACTGAGCACATGGCAAAATTCAACACAAAATCCATCTCAAATCGGGGCACGTCTTGTAATTTTTCTTTAGCGCCGAAGAGAAAAATTTATAAAACGTCTATGAAAAATTTAAAAATACATAAATTCCTTTTCAGAAACGTAATTGTCTTGGCCATAGAGTGCCAAAAAATTGTACCTGAAAATTCTGCAAAAACTCGCTGCTTCGCTGCCTTGGTTGTATTTCAAAACAGACCATGCACTACGCCGTTAAGAAAACAAGGTTGAATTCCTCGAAGGACGATTTCTTGATGAAAAGCTTCCTTCCTCCACAAAAAGAATGCTGAGCATTCTTTTGAACTTTCTCTTCCCATTTTTTGTCTTATAACGGGGTATTTTTAACCTTAAAATGCAGAACTCTTGTCATCTGTCAATATAAATGATACTACTTTGTTGAAAAATCAAGGTGCCATAAAATATCTCCCTTAAATGCGTTTCCTCTCAAATTTCGAGTGTAAGATAATTTTTACGCGCTCTGTCAATTTTTCGCATCAGCAAGATTCCAACTCATTGTTTAAAGGAAACATTGGTCACGTGACTTCTTAGTGCAAGTGGCCAATTGTTCTTGATGCGCGAGATTGGTGTCTTTAGTCCGAAGGCGTGAGAGGTGGTAGGTATACAACCAAATAATGTACTAGTAATGGTTGACACTACAGCTGCCCCCGCTCTGTATATTGTCGGTCAATAGTATTCTTGCTCGTTGTGTAGCTCTTTGAAATATACTGATTCATAATGAAGATTTTCACACATATTCCATACAATAGGTGAGATAAACACAGGAAACGCAAGGTTCCATGCACAGTTTCAGTTCGATTTACACAGCTTTGATCAAAACATTCTCAGTTTCGAGAATTGTTTATTCTAAACCATAAGAAAAGATTAATTAGAAGTTGGATTTTTCGCTATTTCGCTTTCACTTTTTACATTCAGTTCATTTTATTTCCCGGAAAGTAAGCCTTATAAATTAAAAGGACGTTTGATCAATTCACCCTCGCGCATTCTAGTCTTTTTAAACTTTACAGCGGAAGGACATCTGTGAGCAGGGAATAAGTCAGCACAGAATTTGATTGTCGGCGAATTTCTGTAATTGTCAATCGTTCTGCTAGTGATAAGCTAGCCGTTGAGTCATACACTCGTCTTGCTTGTTTGAGGCTGAGTCTTATTCCGGTCAAAGAGAGAGACATAGTGTCTGGCAAAGTTTCCAACCAAAGATTTGTGAACTCGTGTCTGGCAGACTCTCTAAGTGTTTATATATTTAACAATTAATGAATGAGGCTGAGTATCTTATGAAGAATTATGGAGATCGAGGAGGGTGTTATCCGTCGAGGCCGTAGGCCGAGGCGGATAACACCCTCCTCGATCTCCATAATTCTTCATAAGATACGAAAGCCGAATTCAATAATTGTTTTATTATTCATTCAAAATTATTCCAAGTTTAAAAACATGGCTAAAACATGCTTACCCCCATCGATCCATCGATGTTAAGTTCATCTTCGATAGTGCACGTTTAGGTTTGTCCAGCTCCGCAAATATTCTCCAAATAGCAGATGTCGTCCTTCGAGTTGTCTTCTTGCTGTTCTTGCCATGTTTTTAGCTATTTTTTCGCCTAGTTCTTACTCTTGAAACGAGTGAAAAGTCATTTCCTCGTTAAACACAAAATTCTTCCAAATTTGGTCATCAGTAACTGGTTATGGTGAATTAAACGTGTGCTTTTAGCCAATCAGAATCGGGAAAATATTTTGAATGAATAATAAACACAGTTATACGGGCCTTATAACTTCATCTGCGCTTAACGAGTGTTTTTTGGTCCATAACTTTCAAAACAACTGCTCCACAGAATGTCATTGATAACACGTAACGCAGAAGAGTATCCAAGTATGACACAAAATCTACCTAAGCGGTCCCTTCGGGATTTTCTGTCTTTACGTCATCCTAACCACTTCGTACTTGCGGGCGCAAACAATAGAAACGTCATCATTACCTACCGATTCCTCGCGGCCCCTGTTCAAGCAAATCGAGATATTTTCTTTATTGACTGTATGACTGTATATTTCAACTGTAAGTACTTTCCTTAATATACGCGCGAGTTACTAGAGTGCCTCCTCGGGATTTTGCCTTCTGGGCGAAATCCCTGCGGGGGCAATAATGCAAAGGTAAAGGTGCCGTGGCTCATAGAGTCAAAACACTTCCCAGAATCCAAAACACTTTTGGATTCTGGGAAGTGTTTTGGCGAAGTGTTTTTGGATTCTGGGAAGTGTTTTGTCCCTACGAGCCACCGTACAAAGGAACCTTAGAGTTTAAGTGTAACTTCAGCCTATGCAATGCCGTACCTCAGTTACAAATTCCCAGAAAGTCTTGAGACTTCGCCTGATTTGTCACGACCAAAGGATCAACGAGCAAATCATATTTTGTAAGACAGGTTTAAGTATAAAAGTCACTGATTGCATTTTCCTTCACAAATAACAGGGACTTGTACAAAACTTACATAAAGCAACAATCAACCCTCCTACCAAGAAATTGTTGAACCTATGCAGGTGGGCTCCTGACCTATGGGATTTTCCCTTCCGTTATAATTTAAAAGGTTTCCGTTTCACTTTGATCAACTAAATTACGTCAGCAAAAGTGACGTAAGTGCTCCCAGAAATAGCTCCCAAAATGCAGCCATCCTAGTCTGTGTAGCAGGCGCTAGGAAATAAATGCGCGCGCGCCCGTTCTTTCCTGCGCCCATTTACTTCCTAGCAATCCAGGAAAATTTGAAAACTAATGAAGCACCCCTCCCTCCCTCTGTTCCTTCTAATCCCCTTACCCCTTTTGATGCCTGCTTCGCAGTCAGACAAATTTTCACCCTCCGTGCTCATCAGTAAATAAACAGCTCGGGGTTTTTCTCCTCCCGAATGGGAACTCATTGATGGTTCTGTTTCATCAATATCGATATATAGTGCCGATGTAGACTGATCTAAAGCTCGTCAGAACGTTTCCCAGCGATCAAAGCCAAAGGCATTTCAAAATCAACCGAGGTGTCAGTGTGTAACTGAAGCTAACGTATTAAATGCATACCTCAGCTGTAAATTCCCGAACCTTGATAGTTTGCAAGAGTACAGTAGTGGGTCCTTGATTCGTGACGACAAAAGGGCCTACGAGGAAA